GTGCAATGGAGTGGGCATCGCCAATATCCAAGGTTCGAATCCAGTCGGTCGCCCGCGACTGAACGAGGCTCTCAAGCGAATTGAGTTGATGATCTCAGCCCAGTTTCCAATGACTGCACGAAAAAAAATCTATTACATTCATTTGGTTACGTTTGTTTCATTTGGCCACGTTCCAACTCTGAGAAGGGAAGTCACGTTCTGACTGCGTTGTTATGGCGCAAATGCTCTCATATGTTAGAGCAGGTGGGGAAGTTCTGCTCTCTAAGCTGTGGACTCGGGGTCACTTGAAGGGACCTCAGTAGTAGCTCTCTGATATCCACTTCCGTAAGCCATTTTCGACCGGTTGCGCTGCTGTGCGAGGGATTCAAGTAAAAACTTTGTCTCGTGACGTGACGCCGATAGCACAATTGGCATCGTGAAACTGGAAAAAAAATGCTTAATAATAATGCACAATCAGAATGCACAATGATATATTCTATTATCACCATGAAGATGCTAGTAAATTTGTCTAAAACTGTGAAACGTGTGTTGCAATGGAATTCAAGGTCTAGAACATGCGATTCTGCCAATGGCCACATTCTTAGTTTCTCCGTTACATTGTCAAATTAGCTATTTTTAAAACATTCTACAATTTGTCTTAAAAACATTTTACTGCGATTAGTCGGGAATTTTATTTTCAGGGCAAAAATAATTTCGGTTGTTTTTTTCTAACATAAATATACGGGTTAGCAAATGTGGCCTCATAAAAACAATAAATGTAAAAAATGTAAGGCATCTAAATGTGATCACATCTCAAAGCTGATGTACGAATAGAGTAAACGTGGCCATAGAGGGAGTGCAAAGAGGGTTTGCATAGCCCTGCTATCCCACTCGTTAAACTGAGTGTCAAGCGAGTAGCGTCGGGTGAGTTTAAAGTGTCAAATAATTATCTGGTGAGAGTTAGGTGAGTAGTGAGCGCTCGGTGAGTGGCGTCCGCTGAGGACCGTTGAGTGTAAACTATTCACTTTTTATGTTTACCAGGTAAGCCCCATTGAGCTATATAGATACTTTTCAGAAGCGACCTGGTCACAAATGATAGCTCAACCATGGAAATTTAGAGCCGCCAATTACTCGAAACGCATGATGATTCGAAATGTGGAAAGAAAAGCCGGAAGACCCGGAGAAAAATCCACGCGACCATGGGGAGAGAGACATGCAAGCTGCAAATATACAGCAGGCGTCATGGTGGAGTTCGAACCCACGACCTCCTGTATATCAGGCGAGTGTTGTCATCCCATCTGCAGACTGGCCTGCTCTAATACTGAGTGACTTAATAACTGAATGTTACAAACCTCAATAAGTACAGTAGTAGAGCATTTTTAACAACGGTGAAAGTTTCTTAAATGTCCACCCCCCCCCCTCCCAGACCCTGCTTCAGTCCACCCAGCAGTAGAAATGAATAAACCACCGTCGATTGCCAGGTTCCTTCTGGTGGGGCAAAGTGTGGGTACTTCCACCTCTTCTAGAATGTCTGATCAGTCTGTGAGTGGAGATCAATTGCCCTCTAGAGGGGCTCTCTAGAGCTCCCTCTAGTGAAGGCTCTTCTGCCAGCAGTGTCGTGAGAAAGATATTGCAGGCGCTGCACCTTCACCTTTTAATCTCCACATTAATCCAAAATCTTTTCTAGTCAATTGCCCTGCTGACATTCCAGACTTTTGTTAACCAACGTAATTTGTCTAAACGCGCCAACTCTGCACGGATTTCAACCTTCCGTGGCTCATTAGCACAGTCAAGCTTCATAAGCAAATACTGCCAAATCGCCAGATGCTATTGGTAAGTGCCCCTTTTTTGCACCATACGTCTGGAAGGCCAAGTAGGTTAACACACTGAAATATACATATTGCATTCGTGGAGAGATACAGAGAAGCAACTTATGTTTCAATCGAACCTAATTTTATATTCATCTGAAGCAGTGGGTGTTTTTTTTCCTCCTCTGTGCAGTGGTTGATTTTTCACAGCGATTTGCTACTGCGTGGAGATTATCTGCACACGAGACCCATGTGCAGTAGCCGGTATGATCTGTGGATTCTAATGCAGCATCACTTCAATGCTGGTTCGGTGCTGTGACACGGACATTACATTGGCCCCCTGAATCACCCAAGCCACTTGATCGTAGCGATTTCCAAATAGAAATCACGAGACCCACGACCATGGCAGGCTTGCTGTTCTCTAGCGTTGAACTGAACCCGCATGTGGGCAGTCTGTATTGCATAAAACAGTGATCAACGTGTTATGTCAATGTTGTGGAATAAATAATAAATGAATGCAAATTCACGCAGATAATTATGAGGTGTGCGGGTGGCTTAGGAGGCTAATACTATGTCAGAGCACTAAGCTGGCACCATTGGAATCCTGGGTTAAATTCCATGACCAAGCCAGGATTCATCACAGATTCTCCAGTGTAACGAGCGGATAGGACTCAGTCCAGTCACCAACGACTGCAACAAAACAACTGATTTTTACGTCACTTAATTTGACTTCATTCAATTCTTGGAATTTATATAATATTATTGCCATGTAAAAAAAATACTCTTTCCTCGAGCTTAAAATAAAGCATCGCCTCGTGTGGATGACGTTATTGAGGATACTAAGACAGTCTTGTGGCATAATTTTTCAAGGGCTATATTAAACCCAGTGGTGGCAGGACTGAGTTTGGGTTTTATCTGTGGTTTTGGCCCACGAAATGACAACTTGATCTGAGTGTCGGGGGGGGGGGCTTGATAGCGCCGAGTTATTATTCTATTTTAAATTTTTAACGAGCCCATTACAAAGCATGAGCGATAGGGGGAAGTGGTAAAGGTATTCTGTGGACAACAATCCCGAGGCCAGGTGCCCACTGGGTAAGGAGAAGGAAGGGCGATTGGGCTCACTGTCCCTTTACTCATGTCGGGGTAACGGTCGGGAACGTGGCATTTTTAGGGGAGAGGGCCCACTTCTAGATTCTTATGGTCAACTCAAAAATGTATGACACGCTCTTAACTACAGAGTTGAATATTTCTCTGCTGGCAATGTGATGCACTGTTTACCGTGAGATAAACCAATGACTTTTATTTCATCTCAAGATATGATCCTGACAGCACAGAGTCTAATTCGAAAAGGCAAATTAACTCAAGTAGAGAGAAATGTTATTTTACAGGCAAAACTATTGCCTAGACTAAATGAACGGGGCAGAGGGCGGGGTGTCTCAATCGAGAAAGACAATGGAACAAGAGTAATCTATCCAACACAGGAACGCCGTGAATATTTGCATTCAAGTTTTCGGCACAATTGTTTTTCCCGCCTTCACTCACAGATTCCCATGATACATTTACACGTGGGTGGTCAGTAAATCAACACGGTATTATGGCGATTGTGTACAGACGATAGCCCCCTGCCATGAGAATATGGAATGTCCACCAATAGTTCAAGAGTCATGCCCCATCGCTCATTTGAGGCAGGAGACGCTTTGACCTTTACTCGTCTCGTACCCAGGGTTACAGCATTCACATTAGAAATGTGTAATTACCGTATTGCTCTCCCATAAGTGGCACGGGGTTTGTTTAAGCTCGGCAGGCATTGAGAGAATATTCTTGGGAAGTTAGCAGTGTGCCGTGAGTTGCAGACACATATCGAATGCCTGGCCGTGACACTTTACACCATCGTCTACTGTTGAATAATGTCAAGGGATTGCTTGCATCTGGCAGCAAGCGAGACGCCACCATTGGTTGATTTGTGCTCTTCAAAGCCACTGAGTTCATATGGAATGGAGCACACACACACGTACTGCAGTATTCATAATAAAGGTTTTTGGGTTACATCGCGTGAGTATAAATGTGTCGTAACCCTCCACCACCCGACGCAGCAAATTAGTAAGGGATTTGTCAGGTAAACAAAACGCCAATTCATTACTACTTGGATAATAAATCCACAGCATTTACAATTTAAGTACGACGTTTCGCTGTTAATTACATCCGGCATCATTGGGCGATTTGCCAGAATAGTCTTACGCGAACTCACCCAAAAACCTTCAATGTGAATAATATTGGTCGCGAAAGCCTACGTGTTAAAACGTACTGCAGTATGCAGCACAAGTATATTATACTGCAGGATCACAAGTCAACGTGTCTCGTCGCTTAAACATGATGAAAGTGCGCCAAGCTTCATCCGTGGCCCTTAGCCAGTGTTGGAAATTCCACATTCCCATTGCGAAGATCAGTCGCCCTCTCTCCGTAGAGTGCCCACTGTTGATTTTTCACGAAATGTCTCTAATATTTACTGACCCTGAAGGGATGGAATTTTTATTTGGCACCCTCAGATTGTGAGCCCATCATCTTTAATCACAGCACTACCTGGGCACATATTTTTAAGATACCGTGCTTTATAAATGTACTTAGATCCATAATAAGACACGTAGCTTGATGATATTGCTCCGGCAGCCAAGATGCTGATGGACTCATAGATATTTGTATTTATATTATGAAATATAGACCATAGTTCTGCTTATATTTGCTTTTACAGATAAAAAATTGTCGAATTGTGTGCAATATGCCAATGACATATGGCATATACATGAATCTCATATTTAGCACTTGCCCCAAAGGTATTGAGGCAAGTGCTGTCAGTGAGCACCTATTAAGGCTGACACGTCACGCAAAGGGATTGTGTGGCCAGCATCAGCATCATGCCCGACCACCTTTGTCTTCCCAGCGCCGTCATTCATGCGGTACATCGAGGTACTCATTTGCCGCTGCTTCAACCGAGAGGAAGACCGATGAACCGGTTTAGAGAGCACTCGATGCAGAGGAATTGATTCCTCGCACCCACCATTCATTCCTCCTTGCAAACATATAACAATCAGAACACGCAGACAACGATCGGAGCAAAAAATAAAGACAAAGGCATCTCAGTCCGCAACGCGCATGGCTCAGCCTCCTATTCAGATGCAACTGCACATGCAATATCGTATTCAGCAGGACGTGTCGTCACGTCCCAAAGAGAAATGCCAGCGGCACCAGTTGCGTTTCAAATTGCACGGGCATGGCTTTGCCTGCAGAACCCATCAAGCAATTGGCCACCGAGCGAGCGGGGCCCGTGCACGCGCTCGCTCGCGTGAACGCGCTGCGCCGCAGCGCTTTCTGCAAGGTTGACTGATGGCCCACGCTCGTTGGTCCTCAAAGACGCGCGCCCGCCAGCTCGCTGCGACCACCCGCTTGCACGTTACATCACTCCGTGTGGCGTCGCCTTCCGCCGCATTTTGTGCGTCAGCTCCATCGGCGGAGCGAATGGGTTACGGTGGGGGTGGGGGCCCCGTGCCGCCACGCCGTCTCTTGTCTTGTCTGCCGTGGTGGCTCTGCCATGAGGGCCGGTTGCGTTGTGTGATTTTTTTTTTCTCTCTCTCTTGTCTGGTGTTGTTCGCTCATTAGCAATGCACCGCACGTGTGTGTTCCCATGCAGCGTCCTCGGGATGAACGCGCGTGTGCGTTCGCCCATGCGGAATGATACGCGGCGTTCTATGTGTGTTGTATGTGGTTGCTGGAACGCGTGTGCGTGTATATGTGTATACGCACGCATAGAGATTTTGTGGAGGAAAAAAAAAACACGCAACATGCATCTCCATATATAATGGTGTGTTCTTATATATACGTCGCATATTCATACAGCCAAAATCCATAATAATCAGCACGACAATGAGCTATTGTATATAATGTTCACTGTAGGATACAGGTGTTCTGTCTTGGTAATATTGTCCATGAGTCTGGGTCAATCTTGATTATTTAAACGACAATGTTGACATTAAACTGAAGAGAGAATAGCATTTTTTTTTATATACAAATGAATCCCTGGACACTTCTGCAGGAGAGAATGATTGTCCTGATGGCCTCTCACTTGGATCTAAGGGTTATTGATCAAATGCATATCTCGCGCTGTGCGTAAATATGGGTCATCCGTGTGCTGAGTGTTTCCTTACGACAGTTCGACATCTAATTTAATATGCAGTATGGGCTGTACGCAATTGAAGGCGGTGGATAGGATGAGAGAGGGTGGATATAGAGCAGGCAGAAGTTGAGGAGATGAAAGAAAGATAATGGGAATACAAAAGTGAGATATTGGAGAGAGATGATGGAGGGAGATGGAGGGTCAGGAATGGCTAAGGAAGAAACAGGTTAAGTAGAGAAGATGGAGAGGCAGGGTGTGAAGGGATGAGAGGATATTAAAGGCAGGTGTTTGAGAGAATGAAGAGAAAATGTATGGAGATGTACATACAGCATATGGAGCAAGAGGATGAATGGAAGGACAATAACGAATGTAGAACTATCATTGCGACAGGATGAAGATGTGGTGGAGATAGGCTGGGGGGAAATGGAGGGAAGATCGGAAGAGGTTATGAGGAAAAAACGATAAAGGGGACTGAAATAGACGATTAAGAGAGCAGTTGGAGAGAAATAAGATAAAGAAAGGGTGAGTATGGAGATATGAAGATGATGGAATGGAGATAAATAAATGTATGGATAGAGAATGCATGGGAGAAAAATGCATAGAGAGGGTTGAGAGATGATTTGTAGATTGAGATGATGAGGAAAGAGAGAGAGAGAGATGACGGTGATAGCATGACGAAATGTTGGAGAGAAAGAAGGTGAAGACAGGTCACGTGAGAAGGTGGATGCTGACAGAGGCTTGAGACAGAGCGTATTGAGCAAGAAGCTGACAAAACAGCTCGAGGATGGGGATGCGATGGAGAAGTCAGGTGGAGATTGAGAATAGGTAGACAAGCTTCCGTCGGAAAATGTGCACACGCGCACAAACACACACGCAGCAGCAGCAGCAGCAACTAACCTTGGCGTTCTTGGACGAGTACGGATCTTCGAAAAGGTTCCACAGTTTGGGCTGCCAGCGACGCCACCAATTCGACTTGGCGGCCGCGCTGGGGTCATCGACGCCGAACCGCTTGCTGCCCGAGCCGCCCGACTCCTCGTCCCCGTCGCCACCTCCGCCATCGTCGGGGGCATTGTCAAAGCTGTCGAGGGCCTCCTCGGCGTCGCGGTGCTGCCTGTAGGTCATCCAGCAGCACGCCTCCACGTCCGTCTCATCGATGCCCCAGTAGGCGAGCTCCTCCTCGAAGAAAGGTCCGCACACGTCGGCGGGGCAGTGCAGCTTGCCCGTGCGGTAGTAGTTGAGGATGTGCGCGAAGACGCCGGGGTGCCTGTCGAAGAAGAACTCGTCGCACTTGGGGTCGTAGTCGAAGGTGCTGTAGGCGTCGGGCTCCGTGAGCCACGAGAGGCGAGTGCCCGGCAGGGTCTTGAGCGTGGTCCTGTAGGTCTCATGGCGCATGCCGCCCACGTTGATGATTATCCGCTCCTCTTCCTCGCTCTTGGCCATCTCGCCCTTCAGGCATGTCTTTGACGGCGGCTTGTTGCCGGACTTGCGTCCTCGGAACGACGAGACGCACACTGAACTGATCATGCGTCTGGATGGCGGAGGAGGCTGCGGAGCAGCGAGGAGGAGACGCGTCGAGCCACGTTATAATTTATTATTATTAAATTTATTACCAGCGCTAGATCTCGCCGTCGTCACCACGCCGCTTTACTGCTGATGCTGCTGCTGCTGCTCTTAATTAAATTGATGGTGATGATGATGGTGGTGGGTCCTGTTTTTTTTTCTGCTGTCCGAGCAAATTCAGTCAGTGGCTGGCCCGCGGGTAGGCGCGGCGCTGGAGATTGATGGTCGGATGTCCTCTCTCCAGCGGAAGCTCTCTTCTCTTCAGCCTCCTGCTTCGCCTCTGCCGTGTCCTCCTTCCCTCTCTATGTTCTCGGTGAACGACGGCGGTCGGAGGAGACGGGACGCGAGTGGAAAGCCTCCTCGTCATGCGGCAGCGTGGAGAAGGTTTCAGCGCTGCCGAGAGGGCAGGGACCCTGTAAGAGCCCTGATAACAACATCCAGTCTCTCTGGGTTTTTTTTTTATATATATATTATTCTGTGTCTGTTGCTGAGCCACAATAGGGGGGGGGGTGGTGGAGAGGGAAAACAAGATATAAAGACGCAAAATGAATGAGATTTCTTTTTTTAAATCAGAAAATTCCCATCTTCGTGAAAATATCGCAGCTCATTATTTGCTCGTACGCACGCCAAATTCGACACCTTGCGACAAGGTTCACAATTAAGATGGGTTGTTGCCCCCCCCCCCCCCTCTGTGTAATATATAACACAGGAAAATAAAAACTGCTTTCTTATCCTCGGTTATCCCCCCCACCCCACCCCCCCATTCGCAACACGCTATACTCGACCGCGCATTAAGATAGCGATGCCATACACACAGGTGCGCCGATATAAAACATCAACAACAAGAAAACACACGCAAATCCACAGAGCGACTCGACTGACTGCCAGTACTGTCACATATACGGCAAATATCTACATAGACGGAGAGAGCGAGAGGCTGCCAATGCAACGACCAATGCTCCAGTCCCAGAATGGGAGCGATGGAGAGAGAGCGCGCATCTAAGCGTAGAGCGCGCGCTCTGTGCTGCTTCCTGCCCGCTGAGCACCTCTCTGCATCGGCAAGAGAAAAGGAGACGAGAGAGAGAGAGAGCGAGAGAGGAGGAGGGTGGGTGGGTGGGTTGCGGGGGGGGGATGCATTAAATCTGTCGGTGGTGAGGAAGGCAATGCGAGCAGCAGGCTGTAGGCTGTCCGCGTATACGCAAACGCACATGCGCGTGTGTGCACAGACACAGCACGCACACAAGCACGCAGCAGCTGATGTAAGGCCGGTTCGTGAAGAATAAACCCATACAGCATAAATAGATAGGTTACACACACACCTCCCACACACACGCGCACACACACGGTAATGTGTACGACTAATGTCTGCATTGGCTGTGTTATTCCTGTATGCAAATACGGTAAATGGACGTGTGGAAGGGAGATGCGTGGAATATACATAATGGAACAACATGCTGGGTCATTATTTGATATAATGTTCCAGCGACGTTATGTATTGATGGGGTTGTGCAACATTTGTGTAATAATATTACTAATGTAATTTTATATATATATAAGCATAATGGTGATTAGGGGGCAGGAATTATGATGATAAACATGATTCCGGCTGAAAATGATCGTGCACATCCACAATAAATTGTGGTAATTAATGCACGCGATGTGCAACATGTTTGCCTGTGACATGCCGATGCTGAAACGATGTGCGCGTTATTTTTTGCAGGTCACTTATAATGCACAACATATTGCAAATGCCAATGCGGTGTTCTCAGCAGCAATGCAGCATCCATGACAATATAACGCCACACGATACTTGCATCGAATCGCCTTCGCGATAAATGCAATGCGACTGTACACATATAATGAATTAATTGTACGTCGAAATTTTATTCTTGTTTATTCACGCACACGTGCGGATTTATTAACCATTTTCCATCGCTTACCGGGGTGTGCAAGGGGGACGGCTCTCTGTACGCGAGCGAGGCTGTTGGTATATCTCGGTCACTTGAGACAAAGACAAAGATCCCCCGTGTAGGCTTTGACATGCTGTTTGGGGCAAGTGCTGTTTGCGAGCACCTTAATGATGGTGGCCAGCAACCACGCCCGGCCGCCTTTGTCTCCCCCACCTCCCCAGTGGCGATGTTTGCCGGGTGTTCATTTGAGGCTGAGTCGACCTAAGGGATGAGGCCCCCGGGACCGGTTCAGATGACCGTCACCGGTGGTGTTGGCCTCGGGTGTCGGGGAACGAACTCGGATCGCCGGGCAGTCGGAGTAAACCACGACAGCTCCCAGCCACGTACACTTAAAAAAAACCCAACACGAACACACACACACATTACAATTGATCTATTATAAAGCATCGCCTCTGCTGCGCTGGCGATGATTCGCAGGTGACAGTGGCGTGTGTGCTCGCCGCTGACAACGAATGCGTTTCACCAGAACAGCAGCAGCAGCAGCAAACCCTTCGCCCCACTCACGTGCATTGTTTCGCCGTCTCTCGCAAGGCAGCCGGGCCCGCAATTGTTCATTCAGGGCGCGTGTCCACCTCGCTCGCGTGCGTGAGACGTGCGCTCGACCCGCAGTGTGGCGCAGGCTGTGTATGTGTGTACAGGCTGTGTGTGTGTACAGGCTGTGTGTGTGTGTACAGGCTGTGTGTGTGTACAGGCTGTGTGTGTGTGTGTGTACAGGCTGTGTGTGTGAGCTGTGTGTGTGAGCTGTGTGTGAGATGTGTGTGTGAGCTGTGTGTGTGTGAGCTGTGTGTGTACAGGCTGTGTGTGTGAGCTGTGTGTGTGTGAGCTGTGTGTGTGAGCTGTGTGTGCGAGCTGTGTGTGTGCAGGCTGTGTGTGTAAGCTGTGTGTGTGTGAGCTGTGTGCGTGAGCTGTGTGTGAGCTGTGTGTGTGATAGCTGTGTGTGAGCTGTGTGTAAGCTGTGTGTGTGTGTGAGCTGTGTGTGTGTGTGTGAGCTGTGTGTGTGTGAGCTGTGTGTGTGTGAGCTGTGTGGTGTGTGAGCTGTGTGTACAGGCTGCGTGTGTGTGAGCTGTGTGTGTGTGTGAGAGCTGTGTGAGCTGTGTGTGTGTGTGTGAGCTGTGTGTGTGTGTGAGCTGTGCGTGTGTATGTTAGCTGGGTGTATGGGCTATATGTAAAGTGTGTGTGTATGTTAGCTGTGTGTGTGTGGGCTATATGTAAAGTGTGTGTGTGAGCTGTGTGTTGTGTGTGAGCTGTGTGTGAGAGCGGTGTGTGTGAGCTGTGTGTGTGAGCTGTGTGGGTGTGTGAGCTGTGTGTGTGTGTGAGCTGTGTGTGTGTGTGAGCTGTGTGTGTGTGTGAGCTGTGTGAGAGCTGTGTGTGTGTGAGCTGTGTGTGTGCTGTGAGCTGTGTGTGTGTGTGCTATGAGCTGTGTGTGTGTGCTGTGAGCTGTGTGAGAGCTGTGTGTGTGTGAGCTGTGTGTGTGTGAGCTGTGTTGTGAGCTGTGTGTGTGTGTGAGAGCTGTGTGTGTGACTGTGTGTGTGTGAAACTGTGTTGTGGTTGTAGCTGTGTGTGTGAGCTGTGTGTGTGTGTGAGCTGTGTGTGTGAGCGTGTGTGTGTGAGCTGTGTGTGTGTGAGCTGTGTGTGTGCTATGAGCTGTGTGTGAGTGCTATGAGCTGTGTGTGAGTGCTATGAGCTGTGTGTGTGCTATGAGCTGTGTGTGTGTGTGAGTTGTGTGTGTGAGCTGTGTGTGTGAGCTGTGTGTGTGTGAGCTGTGTGTGTGTGTGAGTTGTGTGTGTGTGAGCTGTGTGTGTGAGCTGTGTGTGTGAGCTGTGTGTGTGTGTGAGCTGTGTGTGTGTGAGCTGTGTGTGTGAGCTGTGTGTGTGTGAGCTGTGTGTGTGTGAGCTGTGTGTAGGTGAGCTGTGTGTGAGTGTGTGAGCTGTGTGTGAGTGTGTGGTGCGCTGTGTGTGAGCTGTGGTGAGTGTGGTGAGCTGTGTGTGAGTGTGTGTGTGAGCTGTGTGTGAGCTGTGTTGAGTGGTGAGCTGTGTGTGAGCTGTGTGTGAGTGTGTGAGCTGTGTGAGAGCTGTGTGTGTGTGAGCTGTGTGTGTGAGCTGTGTGTGAGTGTGTGAGCTGTGTGTGTGAGCTGTGTGTGTGTATGTTAGCTGTGTGTGTGTGTGAGAGCTGTGTGTGTGGTGTGTGAGCTGTGTGTGTGTGAGCTTTGTGTGTGTGAGCTGTGTGTGTGTATGTTAGCTGTGTGTGTGTGAGCTGTGTGTGTGTGAGCTGTGTGTGTGTGAGCTGTGTGTGGTGTACAGGCTGTGTGTGTGTGAGCTGTGTGTGAGTGTGTGAGCTGTGTGTGAGTGTGTGTGTGAGCTGTGTGTGAGCTGTGTGTGAGTGTGTGAGCTGTGTGTGAGTGTGTGTGTGAGCTGTGTGTGAGCTGTGTGTGAGCTGTGTGTGAGTGTGTGAGCTGTGTGTGAGCTGTGTGTGAGTGTGTGAGCTGTGTGAGAGCTGTGTGTGTGTGAGCTGTGTGTGTGAGCTGTGTGTGAGTGTGTGAGCTGTGTGTGTGAGCTGTGTGTGTGTATGTTAGCTGTGTGTGTGTGTGAGAGCTGTGTGTGTGTGTGAGCTGTGTGTGTGTGAGCTTTGTGTGTGGAGCTGTGTGTGTATGTTAGCTGTGTGTGTGAGCTGTGTGTGTGTGAGCTGTGTGTGTGTGAGCTGTGTGTGTACAGGCTGTGTGTGTGTGAGCTGTGTGTGAGTGTGTGAGCTGTGTGTGAGTGTGTGTGTGAGCTGTGTGAGCTGTGTGAGTGTGTGAGCTGTGTGTGAGTGTGTGTGTGAGCTGTGTGTGAGCTGTGTGAGTGTGTGAGCTGTGTGTGCTGTGTGTGAGTGTGTGAGCTGTGTGAGAGCTGTGTGTGTGAGCTGTGTGTGAGCTGTGTGTGTGAGCTGTGTGTGCGTGTGTGAGCTGTGTGTGTGAGCTGTGTGTGTGTATGTTAGTTGTGTGTGTGTGAGAGCTGTGTGTGTGTGTGAGCTGTGTGTGTGAGCTGTGTGTGTGTGAGCTGTGTGTTGTGTTTGCTGTGTGTGTGTGTGTGAGCTGTGTGTGTGTGAGCTGTGTGTGTGTGTGAGCTGTGTGGTGTGTGTGGTGTAAGCTGTGTGTGTGTGAGCTGTGTGTGTGTGTGAGCTGTGTGTGTGTACAGGCTGTGTGTGTGTGAGCTGTGTGTACAGGCTGTGTGTGTATGTGAGCTGTGTGTGTGTGGAGCTATATGTAAAGTGTGTGTGTGAGCTATATGATCAGGGTTGTGTGTGTGAGCTGTGTTCAGGCTTGTGATGTGACTTTGTGCGTGAGCTTTGTAGGGAGTGGTGGTGCACGCTAGGAACCTGGCGACTCGACTTCAATTCCTTCTCAAGGCCACCACCAACACCCAGTGACGATTATTGAACCATTCATGGGCCTCTTGCAGGTAGACTCAGCCTCAAATGAGCACCTGGTGCGGTGTGTTAACATCACCACTTGGGAGACAAGGCGAGCCGGGCGTGGTGCTGGCCACCATACCCCCCTAGTGTGCTGTGTTCGGCCATAATAAGTGCTACTCTAAACAGCACTTGCCCAACAGCATTGTATCGGCTATATTTCGTGAGCTTTGTGTACAGGCTTTGTACAGGATATGTGTGAGAAATGTGGAAAGGCTTTATCTGTGTCTGTCTCCCCTAGGTAATCCCTAGCTCTAAATAAGTACTGGTCCAGTGT